GTATGATGAAGTTTTATAAGGGTACCACATGAGTCATTAAATTATTTATAATTGAAATTTTTATCATGAAAATGAAATTTGACGCTTTGTTTTCATATTCGATGTTTTTGCATATTTTGTAGTTAGATAAAACTAGACTAAGTAAACAGTTTGAAATTAATTTTTCTAAAAAAAAGACAGTTGATAAAAATTTAAATTGAGTAATTATGGTGGTTAGAACTGATATATTTTCGTAAATTTTTAATTAAATGTTTGAATTAAAAAGGTGTTTATTAAATTATAACCCATGCCATTTTCATGGAGAATACATCAGATTTCACTAATGCATGTTTCAATGAGCCCGTCAATGACGAGAATAAATAAACAAGTAATATAAAAAAAAAAAAAAAAAAAAAAAATAAATAAAGTCAATTCCTACTTTTTCTCACTATATTGCAGAAAGTCCTTTATAAATAATTTTCATTCATTTTTTAAAGTTTATCTGGCGCCATCTATTGGTAGATATATGCAACTTAAATCTAAAAAAAACTGAAATGAATTAATTAAATATAATTACTGAATTAATAGTTGAAAAAACTGTATTAGCTCAGGTTTCATCCACTACAAGTTCAAAAAAATGTATTTGAAGTTGAGTGGATGAATAAAAAGTGTTTTATTAACGATTGAAAATTTGAACAAGATATATATAGGGAGAGAGTGAGCTAATAGAAGGAATTGAAATAAGAGACGAGATAGGAGAAATCAGATGAACTCTCAAAAGGCAACTTTCGGTCTTCAGAATTCAGAATCATTTTTGGTCTTCTTGTTTGTGAAAGCAGTGACAGACCTGGTCCTTTTAGTTTTAGTTCATTCCTTAAAATTTTTCTTGGATGTTCAAGCCTAGAGCAGCTAAAAAATGTGATGGATATTCCGCACTATTTTCACATTGTTGATGCAAAGATCAGTTGAATACAGGTTAACTCTGCTTAAATAGAATTTAAAATTGTCATGTTATATAGAATGTCGAATCATCATACATCGAATATTGTTTAGCTTGTGTACCTAAAGAGAATAAATTTTGGTAATTAGAATAGTACATACACTTATCCGCACATCTGGAAAAACTCCTCCAGTATCTAAACGTACATTAAAGATCTTGAAAAAGAAAGAAGAAAATATGTAATGAAATTGTGTTATGACATCATTTGAAATATCATCTGCTTAAGGATTCTTTTTGAAGAGCATTAAGCATTGTTTATTTCAGTTTGAGTATCAGGAATAGGAGAGAAGATCAGGAGTTAAAAAAATATGGTCTGGCAAGATGAGTTGTTCATGAAAAATTCGTGTTCTTATGAAAAATTGAGTCTCTTTTCCTGTAATCAAGTGGAAAGTAATTTCCAAATATTACATAAATTGTTTCTTCTGAAGATATATTCCTCCCATTCGGAAGACTGATACCTGTAATTTCAATTTTCTTCAAGGAACTTTTTTAAATTCCCATATGTATGTATATTTTTCCAGATATTGATCAGCTCAATTTTATTGAGGAAACTTTCCGAAAAATACAATTTTGCATCAAAAAGTATTGATTTATACTCTCGCCTCAATTCAATGTGTTTTTGTTTATACAATTCTTTAAGGAATTGATTTCGGGATTTCTGACATTTGAGCTTCGCTACTTTTATTTTTTTTTCTTGCACATTCGATTTCATTTGTCCACCAAGGAACATTTTGAACTTCTGGTTTCTTGATGGGAATACAGCAGGGATGAGCACATTAAGGCCCGAGGGCTTGCTTTGACCAACCTGCAAGTTCTATCCAGCGCTTTGTAAATTAAAAAAAATATATATATAATGTATTTGCGATAATACTATACGATATGTAATTATATATATTAAAGATTATTATATTACTATACAATCTGCAGTATTTATTGCGTATTGCATATCTCAAAACAGAAAGAGTTGTTACAGATAAAAAAAAGAGAGGTCTGTAATCACATTTCATTGTAATTTGTACTACAAATTTTAAACTGCTTCTTAAAATGTGGCTGCAACTGTTTTGAGGCCGAAAGGCATTCGAAGGTAACGAAAAGTTCTAAATGGATTGCTGTTAATAATAATAATAACATTAATATCACACAAATATTCTTAACCTAACGAAACTTAAATCATTCAGTACTCAAATTAAATCTCAAAATATCAATGTCACAAATCAGGATTATTTATTCAGTACAAAACAAAATTATTGAAATCACTTAAAATAATATACTTCATAAGAGATAATAGAGAGTTTTTGCATACCGTACGTTAGTTACCGTAGGACGTCCGTTAGCTTTTTCTCCCTAGCGCGCATGCTCAGTTTCCTATGAGCATGCGCTAGGGAGAAAAAGCTAACAGACGTCCTACGGTAACTAACGTACGGTATGCAAAAACTCTCTGATAAAGATAAATTGTAGGAACTCAAATTCGTAAGTGTGGATGTTTAAAAGAAACAATGAATCGGCAATCAAAAGTAAATTGATCGGGAAGATCAAAATATACTTATATTAAAATTTGCTAAAAATGTTGCTTATTTTCTTTCTGTCATTAAAGACTGTGCTTCTCTGTATTTTGGCATTATTTTGTTTGTATCATGGACTTTTCAGATATATAGTATGATATCATTTTCATAAGGACGTCCATGACTTCAAACATTAGAGAGTTTTTGCATACCGTACGTTAGTTACCGTAGGACGTCCGTTAGCTTTTTCTCCCTAGCGCGCATGCTCATAGGAAATTATGTTTCCTATGCGCATGCGCGCTAGGGAGAAAAAGCTAACGGAGGTCCCACGGTAACTAACGTACGGTATGCAAAAACTCTCTATTATTCTAAGCACGGGTTCACCAGCATTCAGCAGATTAATCGCAGGCTGAAAACAAACATAGGACCGATATTTACAAGATATTTCAATAATATTATGATTTCGCGTCAATTCATTACATAGTTTTTTTATTTTTAATAAAATTAACCTATTAATTAATTAGTCAATTAATTTTAATTTAATTAATTTTAACCTCTGATTCCATAAATGGATCTAGCAGACCACTAGTTTTAGCTAATATCGTCCGATTTGGTTTGCTGCACAAATAGTAAAGTTATTTAAACAAATTTTTAAAAAATTACACATGAAATTGTTGAGCATTGATGAAAATGTTTCGTGTTATTAGGCCAACAACATTTTGCATTCCCACCAAATAAAAATTCGATATTTGTGAGAACTCAAAATTTTATATCTCTTAAGGATAATAGCATATACAAACGCAACGTTGCAAAGCAGAATTAATAAGATATCCGATTGTGCTGAAAAAAACGAATTTTGATTAATTGAGGCAGTTTTTTATTAGTAAATTTTATTGTTCAACCTTTGTTTCCTACCAAAATCATTTTTTTATTGTATGCCACTTAGAAAAATATATACGGATTTGAATACGATTATTCTATCAAAAAGAAAATTATTTTGGAAGTTAATTCTGTTTTTCAAAACATGCTTATTTGCATAAATTTGTAATTGTAATTGTAATTATACCTAGAGAAATAATAAGATCCTTTCTAAGATAAGGTTCTAAGCAATTACCTATAGAAAATTAAGGTAAAAGAATTTTCTTGAAAATGTTGAATTTCAATTACTTGGGCCTTCTTTGTTCGTGAAGTTTGTTATTCTACCATTTCTGCCACAACGGCAATTTTTTTTCCAACTATATGTCCGTTAGAAAAACATTATATTAATTTAAATATGGTTATTCTCCAAAAAAAAATATTTTTACAGTAAATTGCCTTTTTCTAAATATTTTTTTGCATAAATTTGAAATTGTCAGCCTATACTTGAGAAATAAAAAGCTCATTTTTGTTAAACTTTTAATGTTTTTCTTTAAATAGTAGTTGACCCAAATGTTTTGAAAACGCTGAAGAAAGATTTTGATGTATAAATATTTTCATTAGTAAAATGCTAACGAAATTTGTTAAATATCCATATTGGTACATATTGGTATTTTACTTCTCTTAAATGACATTAAATATTTGTAAATGCTACTTCTTAAGTGCAAAGGAAAAGGACGTTCTGTCTAGCAGAACATCTCCATCGCATTAAAATATTTTCGGATCCTGGCTGCCCCCTATGTGGTTCAACAGACCCAATGAACAGAGACCACCTCCAACGATGTGCGGTACTTGAAGGCGACTCGGAGATAGAGCTTTACTGGTGTGTGAGAGAACTCTTAAGGCAATGACTTCGGTCATCTGTGCATTTTCTGGACGTTTATTCTTTTGTATTTTTTTCCCTTGTTATTTTTGTTATTATTACTATTTTTATTCTTCTTGTACTTGCCTTGCCATTGAAAATAAAAAAAAGTACAAAGGAAATATATATTCTTGCCTATTTTTGAGTAGAAACATTTTGGCCAACATTCACTGAAATCTGTTTCATAATACTTAGCAAGTGTGGTATATACCATATCGCAAAATTTGTCGATATTTTATTGTTTGCATACAACAATTTACTTAAGGCCAGTACAAAAAATTTAAAATATAACTCTTTAAATGTTTTCCAAAATAGGCATAGGCTTAAGTGGATTAACTTGAATACTATTTAAACTCGCATGCAAGGATTTGGCTGACGTACATCATACTTTTTACAGATTACTTACTTTTTAAATGGCATACTTTTTACAGGAAATATTTTGTTGTTGTTACTTCTTATCCCACTTGGCAGACATTTCTAGGCCAAGCCCACGAGCCCATACGTACTCATGATTGAAGGGGAAGGAAGCAGCTTCTGTTGTGATGGAGCACCCGTAGGTAGAAGCTTGACTTTTGCTCCGTGACGCTCTTACAGTCATATGAGACCGGTACTTACGGCTTAAAGTGGATTCCGAATCCCTACAAACACCCATGGCACCGCCGGGACTCGAACCCGAAACCTGTGGTACCGATCGCCAGAGCGCTAGACACTCGGCCATTCAGGTCCCAAATTTGTGAATGCCAACGGCACGAGGTGTTCCCAGGTGGTCACCCACCCAAGTACTGACCGCGCCCAATGATGCTTGACTTCGGTGATCTAACGAGATTGGTGATCTAACCAGATATTTTACTATGACTTTGCAGCAAATAATTATAAGCTGTTAAGTTAAAATCAGTTTAATTTTAAAAACTTTATAAAAACAGTCAGTAAGTAAATTGATGAAGGTTGAAAAAAAATAACACTTAACAAAATTAGTGAACACGTATTTTTATTACAATAATAAAACATTTATAGCAATATTGTGTTTTTTTTTCTAAAATATAAGCAAAACTTTCAACTGGATGCAATTATAATGCAAAAAAACGTGTCGAAAACAATTTACACACGTTATGCATTTGTATTTTTAACATGAAGTTTCCTTTTCGTTAACGTTTTCGTAACGTTAACGTTCCTTTTATTTCATTTTCATGGAAAGTAAAAAACATTTTTTAATGTGAGTAAAGGATAATTTGTATGTTTTTCCTAACTTTTTATCCTAAAAAAGCTAATATAATAACGGAATAGTAAGCGTTTCACAAAATTTCCGAGAAACCTAAAAGGCTGTTTAGTTAAAAAGTTAACAATAACGTTTTAAAAAGCTGTGAATTGTAAGATACAATTTTAGAATCTTAAGTATATTTAGTATATATAAAACATCATCCAAAGTGCTGTTAACAAACGAAAAAAAACTATGTTTTAATGATAAATGTCTATAGTATGTTAGAAAATATAAAAAAAAATAATAATAATAACACTTTTCAAAATTAGTGAACATAAATAGTTTTTTATTAAAATAATAAAATATTCATAACAATATTACGTTTTTTCTCGTAAAATATAAGCAAAACTTTCAGCTGGATGCAATTATAATGCCAAAAGACACAGTCGAAAACAATTTCCAGACACCTGAAAACCTTATTTCCAATCTCCTTTTTCTCTTCAAAAAGAAATATTCTTTCACCAAGGAAAAAAAAGAAGAAGATCTGCACCTGAAAAAAGGTGCAAGTGAGTGTGAAATTCTGAATAAAACTGTCTTCCAGACAACCGGTCCATACCTCCTCTTACATGGAATGGAAAAATGAGGCTTTTGGGAGAATCGCTTGAAAAGTTCTCGACACATTCCCTCTTTTTGATCTTGTAAATTATATTTTCTACAAGGAAATGACTTCCTGGTATTGCTTTGTCCCCAAATAAGATTTTGTCCTTTTGTTTGGAGCAGCGTTCAACTTTCAATTTATATATATAGACACGTGTTTTGGAACAATTTCCGGACATTTTTCGTTTTAAGGACTGCCTGTCAGGAACAGGTTTGTTTTGGAATTGTTGCAACGTAAAACGGAAAACCTGGATAAAGGATTGCATGTGTAGGTTTTTTTTTCGTTGCGTTTTCAATATCAGATGAATGCAAGTTTTATACTTTGAAAAATGTATCTATGATTTTTTCGGTTGAAGTAATGCATAGTGAGACATACAGTAAAAAGAGATGATATGAAAACTAAAATTTTTAACATAGCGTTTCTATAGTAACGTTCTTTATTTTCTTTTATTTCATTTTCATAGAAAGGAAAAAATATTTTTTAATTGGAGTAGAATATAATTTTTAAATTTTTCCTAACTTTTTTATCGCATAAAAACCAATGTAATGACAGAATAGTAAGCGTTTCACAAAACCTCCGGGAAAACTAAAATTAAATATGTCTATATAAGCCTATAACTGTTTAGTTAACTAACTAACAATAACATTTTAAAAAGTTGCGAATTGTAAGATATAATTTTGGATTCCTAAATATATTTAGTATGTACAAAACATCATCAAAAGTACTATTAACAAATGAAAAAAATACTATGCTATAATAACAAATATCTATGGTATGTTAGACTATGTCCCATAAAGACAAATTCCTATGGTAGGTTAGACTATACCATATAATGACAAATGTCTATGGTATGCCAGAGTATGCCCTATAATGAAAAAGGCCTATAGTATGTTATAAAATGTCCTATAATGAAAAATGCCTATTATATGTTAGATATATCCTATAATGATAAATGTCTATGGTATGTTATAAAATGTCCTATAATGACAAATGTCTATGGTATGTTATAAATTGTTCTATAAAGAAAAATGCCTTTGGTATGTTATACACCCTATGTCTTATATAGTATTTTATTTTAATTTCTTTTTATTTATAAATTAAATAAGCGAAAATTTAAAATTTACATTTTTTATAATGTAAGTAATTTAATAAATTACAAAATTTTAATTAAGATTTTTTTGAATTTCTTGTTCTGTATAATACATGCATCTTTCTTGCAATATTTAAAAAATACAAATAAATATTTTCAAAAATTAAAATTTTTAATTATTATTTTTAATTATAATACAAATTCCAAGAAAACTAAAAATAAATATGTCTATATACATGTTCTCTATGCTAATATTGTTCAAATGCACTGTTAACATAACTCAGTTAATATTAATATTAAGAACTTCCATAAAGAGAAAATTATAACTTTATTTTTCCAAATAAACATCAACATCAAAGATATAAAATTTTAATTATGAATTGCACCAAATTTTTTACAACAATAATTTTAAAATTTACTCAGTTATGCGAAGATTTTAAAATTTATAATAATTATTAAAAATTAGTTAATTATTAAACATTAATAAATTAAATTAAACATTCAATTATTGAAAATTTATTAAATATACCAAGATTTATCAAAGTAAATTAAAAAAGATAATATAAAATACCAGCAGGAACTAATCTTTTCATAGAAAGTCAGCATTTATAAAAGATCATAACAATCTTGTAATGTCAAAAAATGAATCAACATGTTAAATCATTTCATTAAGAGAAGTAACTTTGATAATAAAAATAAATTAATTAAATTAATTATTAAATTATTAAAACTTTATTAAATATATCAACATATACCAAAGTATTTAGCATACTATAAAGCAATAATATTTTACATAAATTAAATCTTATCTTGTTAAGATGGGTAGGTAGCAATGTTGAATATTAATTTCGTAACTATAAAAAATAAAATAAAGAAATATTTTACGAAAAATTATATTTACATAAAAAAATGAATAATATGTTCATACTTTTAAAAAAAAAAAAAAAAAAAAAACACCTAATGCAATCCAAATTAAAAAGAAATTAATTATTTTTTAGTACATAAAATTTGCAATAAATTTTTATAAATGGCCGTGGTAATCTTATCTTATAAAGACGTATAGTGCTGTTGTATATTAATTTCGTAAATATAAAAATAACAAAAACACTTGCTAATATAAATAAAAATTATTTTGTGAAAAGTTATATTTACTTAAAAAATGAATAATATATTGATAAATATTAAAAAATTAAAGAAATAAAAACAAAAACTAACACAATTAAAATGAAAAAGAAAATTAATTATTTTTTAGTATAAAATTTGCAATAAATTTTTATAAATGGCCGTGGTAATCTTTTCTTGTAAAGACGTATAGTGCTGTTGTATATTAATTTCGTAAATATGAAAATAACAAAAACACTTGCTAATATAAATAAAAATTATTTTGGGAAAAGTTATATTTACATAAAAAGTGAATAATATATTGATAATTATTAAAAAATTAAAGAAATAAAAACAAAAACTAACACAATTAAAATGAAAAAGAAAATTACTTATTTTTTAGTATAAAATTTGCAATAAATTTTTATAAATGACCATGATAATCTTATCTTGTGAAGACGTATAGCAATGTTGAATATTAATTTCGTAGTTATAAAAAAAATAAAAAAACATGTTAATATAAATAAAAAAATTATTTTACGAAAAATTATATTTACATAAAAAAATAAATAATATGTTGGCAATTATTAAAAAATTAAAGAATTAAAAACAAAAAACTAGTACAATTCAAATGAAAAAAAATAATTTTTTTTGAGCATAAAATGTGCAATAATTTTTTATAAATTATCATCGTAATCTTATGAAAAGATGTATAGCAATGTTGAATATTAATTTCACAATTATAAATAATAAAAGCATGCTAATATAAATACAAAATTATTTTACAAAAAATTATATTTACATAAAAAGTGATTAATACGTTGATAATTATTAAAAAAATTAAAGAAATAGAAAAAAAAATACATTTCAAATGAAAAAGAAATTAATTATTTTTTTGTGCATAAAATTTGCAATAAATTTTTATAAATGACCATGGTAATCTTATCTTGTGAATATGTATAGTATTGTTGTATATTAATTTCGTAATTATAAAGAAATAAAAAAAATCATGCTAATAAAAATAAAACATTATTTTATGAAAAATTATATTTACGTAAAAAATGAATTATATGTTCATAATTGTTAATAAAAAATTAAATAAAAAACAAAAACTAATACAATTTAAATAAAAAAGAAATTAAATTAATTATTAAATTATTCAAAATTTATTAAATATACCAACATATACCAAAATGTTTAGCATAGTATAAACTTATAATGTTTTACTTAAATGAAATCTTATCTTGTGAAGATGTATTGCAATCTTGAATATCAATTTCGTAACTATTAAAAATAAAAAATAAAAACATGGCAACATAAATAAAAAATTATTTGTAAAAATTTATATTTTTCATAAAAAATGAATAATATGTTGATAATTATTAAAAAAAATTAAAGAAACACATAATTCAAATGTAAAAGAAATTAATTATTTTTTTGTGCATAAAATGTGCAATAAATGACCATGGTAATCTTATCTTGTGAAGATGGATAGCAATGTTGAATATTAATTTCGTAATTATAAAAAATAAAAATAAAAACATGCTAATATAAATAAAAAATTATTTTACGAAAAGTTATATTTACAAAAAAAAATAAATATTATGTTGTAATTATTAAAAAATGAAAGAAAGAAATAAAAAAAAAACTAATACAATTCAAATGAAAAAGAAATTAATTATTTTTTTGTGCATAAAATTTGCAATAAATTTTTATAAATGGCCATGGTAATCTTATCTTGTAAAGATGTAAAATGCTGTTATATATTAATTTCGTAATTATAA